GCGAAAGAACTCCAAGAACCCTGAAATGGTGGCGGGGGCCTTCGATTATGGAGGGGCCCCTTTTTGTTTGCGGGCCTCCGCGCTAATTAGGATCCAACTTTGCGGGCCTCCGCGCTAATTAGGATCCAACATCAAGCTCTAAGATCTCAACCAAATCCGCCAAGCAAACGTGCCTGACAAGAATCAGCTGAGCCCTGCAATCCAAATCCCAAGTCCCACTCGAAAAGAAAAACTGTGCGGAATCCAGAAAGCGGCCAAGATTCCAATTCCTTCTGTAGGGACTCATATCTTCAGGACTCGTGACATTGTGGAAGCTCAGCATCCCAACCCTAGGAGCCTTAATGCCCACGATGCATCATGAGAACATGCCCATTTTGCAGACCTCGCCGGCGCGCCAGCTGTCAGCTTTGCCAGCATAGGCTGGCTTATCTCTGCTACGCAAAAGCCTCGCATGGAGAGTTGACAACACCATAATCATGCTTTGGGGGCCTGTTAATCATGCGACTCCTGAAACTCAGGATATTCGGGCAAAGGACCCCAACAGTGGCTCCAACCCACGTGTCCACGAAGAGGGGGCGTCTACATGCGCCATCGCAAGACACAAGTCTTGAGGAATGCCTTTAAGAACAAGAAGCCGGCATGTGTCTGAAGTATATACTACAACGTCTTCAAGAAGCACCCTCCATGCTGAGACACTCTTATCTGGCAACATGAAACGTCAGGTGGTGTCCGCACCCTCTAAAAAGAGGCCTCTGGCGAAGGGTTAACATGAATCTCGCATGATTTGTCAAAGGCAATCTTCCATGACTTCCCTCAGTAGCTTGCATAAATACAGCTATTTCATTTTGCCTGTGTGTGTGCGTGGAGGAAGGCAAGCAAACAAAAGTAAAATCTCCTGTGGAATCTGCCGTTACTTTTCATCCGCTCTATCAGCATCCTGATTGCTACGAAGCTCAAAGTTTTGGAAACATCTGATCACCACCATCACCCACAACTCTGCGTAGTCACGTAGTCCACCCTGGACCCTGAACCCCACAGACCTTTAACCCCATTATATATCCCTAAACCCTAAACCCGATATATATGTACATAACTATATATAACTGTAACCTCAAGGAATTTCAGCCGCTGAAGGCCGTTAACCCTGAACCCTACGGAGTCCAAAGCCTCAACTGCACATAAGCCCTACCTACCAGGACCTTCCTTGTTCCCTTAATTGGGGCTATATGGTCCGAAATTGTGGGGTTTAGGGTTTAGGGTTTAGGCCCCAATAGAGGGTAGGAGGTGGGTCTAGGTAGAGTAACCTAAGTATCGCAAGTATCAGGTACACAGCCCTTTTTCAATGGGCACATCCGTTACTCTAGGTGGACCCTAGACCAGAGCCAAACGGTGTCGGCGGGACTCCTGATGCTGGAACTGGCCATGTCTCAAATTTAGGGTTTAGGGTTTAGGGTTTTGGGTTTAGGGTTCCACTTCCCCCAAAAGACTTGTACAATGAACCGTAAACCCGAAACCCTACCTAAGCCCTGGACGTCCTACCTTTTTGGGGGTATACCCTACAAATTTCTAGGACATAATCTAACGCAAAAAAAGGGAAGGACATCCAGGGTCCAGGTAATCCCTAAGTATAACGCGGGGGGAATTCTTTGTTCAGAGTGGGTTCTCTGAGGCCATTGGTTGATGAACCCTACACTCTAAACCCAAATCCCTAAACCCTACACCCTAGACCCTAATCTCTAATCCCTAAACCCTAATCCCTAAACCCTTTTGCAACAGGCTTCCTGAGTCCCTAAACCCTAATCCCTAAACCCTAATCTGAGGCTTTTGGGCTAGGGGTTTGGATCTCCTTCCCTGTATTCGCCTACATAGCGCCCCGTCAAGCACACCGCCATGGACCCACGTGGTTGTTGGGGTTTATGTAGGGGTATATATTACAGGGCTCGAAAGCTAGCTGAAGCTTCTTGGGGGTCCCTGTTAAAGGTGGTTTAAAGGGATTATATGGGCGTATGTAGGTATATAGGGTCTAGGGTTTAGGGATTAGAGTTTTGCAAAACTAGGGGTACCTCATTGGGTTCCCACAACAAGGATTACACTATTTTGGGGCCTAGATTAGGCTCCCCTATTTAGGGAAAATACCATCATCCATTTACGTTTCCTACTGATCTCATATACACTCTACCCTCACAGTCGCCAAAGGTATCATTGCTGAGGTAGCTCCTCGAAATTGCTGATAAACGTCTTGAAGATGGACCCGTGCATCCTAGGGTTGATGGTTGAGGGGGTCTACGAAAAGACTCCAGATAATTCGAGACGTGCCACGCTGTTGAGATCGTGGGCTCAGGGGCTTTTCTGTGCACCCGGGAACCTTCAAATGGAACAGCCCTGTGACCACATGCTTCTCAGAATCTCGCGCTTAGGGGTTGCTTATGCCTGTGATTCAGCGTACACTTACACCCTAAAGGCCAACAAAGCCAGAGGTTTGTATACGTGAGCGTATACTGTCGACATAGGTGTTGTTTCTGGATTGAGCGGGTGTTGTCAGCTTTAGTGCGTGCCAATCTGCAAACTAAAGCAGTGTCTCGAAGCCGAATCACACCGCAACTGCAGGCAAACATGTTGCGAACAATTCAGCGTTTGGCCTCTTCTGTCATGCTTTGGCGATTGGCTGCTCCTTTACTTACATCATCAAGCAACGCGTCTTTGAGGCCTGAGCTTTATCACCTCAAGATGCGATCTGTTCACTTTCCATCTTTGGTAGGATGATGGGAGATTTGCTCAATAATCTACCAAAGCCTCGCGAGCATGATGATCACAGGACGTGCGCTTGCGGCAGATATTGATTAAAGAAGCCGAAATTTGACCTGACCATGCCATTCAGACACCTCAAGGCACTGATTAAATGATGAGAATAGCTCCTGCTAGGTCTTCTGATGGGGGGGACGCCAACATAGACCCCAAAATCCTATAATCCTTATCATTGGGAGCCCCCTAATGATATGAATTGAATAAAAAGAGGTCCCTTCCTCAGGCCCAAAAATCTTCAAAGATCTATCTTGGACACTCAAGTCGCAGCCACGTCCTAATCTCGGGTCAGGGGGTCCCGTGTTCTGGTTCAGGGCTGCCAAAAAGTCAGAACGGGTGCATGTTCATGGTATCTGGCAGTGTTTCTCGTAAACAGGATGCTCCTCGCAGGATGCCCTACAATTCCTATCACAATTCCTCTGCTCACATGTTCACATTTGTACAACTGCCTCCTGTTAAGATCTCCATCCCCAAATCATAAACCCTAAGCCGTATGGAAACCCTTACGGTCCCCAACCTAATGGGCGCGGCAGTGGATCCCTTGAAAGAAGTCAGATTTCGATTTTGAATCTACTACTTTCAGGGACCTTGGGTTCGGTTAGTACACTGTCTAGTCCGCTTAAGTAGATAAAATATTGGGTATATGATATCTTAATGATACAAGGCAATTCCATACGCCATCTTCTTAGGGGGGAGTATTACACTGAATAAGCCTGTTATAACCCTATTGTAACCCATTGTATATAGGGTAGCTAACCCTTTTGTAACTCCAGGGTCCCTCAAAGTACTACGCGTAGAAATGCCGCGATGGGCATAATGATTCTGCGGGGCCAGATTGAGCAACCCCAATCAGGGTTGAGAGTTTCTGGGCGAACCCTGGCTGGAAATTTCCCTTTCTTCCGACCATATCTCCCTTTCTCAAACTCGAAGAACCTTCGCGACCTAGAGTTAATCTTCAATGTAAATTTCAACGCATCAAACGCATGCGAGTCGATGCCCTAGGAATTGGGAAGCAACTCGTGTACCCTAAACCCTATGCACCCTATTAGGCCTGTATACCCAACGCGCCCTATACACGCTATCAACCCTATAGACCCCATACACCCTATAACCATTCCACCTCCTGAAAAATATCATTTTTGGGGGACCATGCCGCCACAATTTGAGGCAGTGGATTTAGGGCCAAAGTTTAGGGAAGTGCCTGAAGATTAGCCAGGCCCTACTCAGGCAACAGGACTCAACTGCAACAGCGGAAAGCCAAGAGCGCGCTCGCATGTAATCTGGGGCCAGCAAGCAAGGGGTCGCGCTTCTGAGTTATTAGCAAGGAATAAGGGGATATAGTCTATGGGGATTGTATAGGGATTATATTTCCACATTCCCTACTAACAGTCAGTAAGCCTAGGAATTTATACAACTATAATCTGGGGGCGCTATGAGAAGGACTGCATTTGTTGTTTGTAAAACAGGCAGCACTCCAATTTATGGGAATGTCCATTTAGGGCTTAGGGGCCCAGGGTTGAGGGTGGCATTTGGAGCATGGAAAGCTTGTCCTACCAACATCATTCGTTCTTATTCAGGGGAGGGGCGGGTCAATACAATGCCTCTTACCAACTGGTGGTGCGTATACGTCCCAGCTGGAGGCATCTGAAAAAATCCCCCTCCAGAAAGGAAAGGGTTTTCAATCCTCAGTTCTTACATGACATGGAAAATTCGTTTTTTTTCAAGTCTTGGCTTCCCGCTGACACGTGACACGGGCTCAGCGTGCAGTTAGCACCCTGGCTCTGTTGTGCTTAAAACCGGAAGCAACAGCAGCAACAGCAAGAACTTTGTTGAACACCTGTAACACAGCAATGCTTGCAACAACAACTGGAAGCTGAGGATGTTGACGCCACAGTTGATGGACGGAATCCTACGCCGCCTTGCGTACCTTAAACCCTAAACTGTGTGCGAGAGAGAAATGGAGAGAGAGAGAGAGAGCGAGAGAGAGAGGGAGAGAGAGAGATATACATATATATATATATACACACATGTTACCTTGGCAGGGCTCGCGTCATGCAACATGTGGTGGTAAAAAGCATCTTTTGTAAATCTCAAGGTGATCCGGGGTCTACAGTTCGACAAAGCATTTCAGGACTTCCTCTACAGCATGATGAATTCTGGGGCACCTCCATCCATCAACAGCATCGTTAAAATCAACGTCACAAGGACTTTCGCAGAGCAATCACGGCACTTGTCATGGCAACGAGAGCTGATGCGGCTACAGCAGGCTGGTCCTTCGAGTGCTTCGGGTTTAGCGCTGGGGGTTTGTGCGCCTGCTGCCTGCACGCTACTCAATGGTAGTTTCCATTTTGTTTTCCATTATCTCTATATTCCCTACATTATACCCATATATTATATAATTAACCCTAAATAAATAACCCTAATATAAGCCTGGTTTGGGAAGTTTGGGTTTCATCATTTAGGCCGATGCGTTGGAAAGTCAGGGGCTCAGGGAATTGGGGATCTCTGATTTTGGGCGGCTTCGGATGCAGTACTGCAACGTGTGCATGGTGTATACGGCCTCAGAGATTCATGATTGTCAGTGCTAGGGATGTAGCATAGGGAGTCTGAACATACCAGGAGGCTCCGTATTTTGGGAGCGGCGGCTCCGGATAACAGGATGAGTATAGGGTTGGCATGGCCACACTTTCACGCGCAACTTGGTGGACTGGTTTGCACTCTCATGAAAATGGAACGGGCGGGAGGCTAAGTCCAAGAAGTGATGGCTTGAACTAAACCTAGACCCTCCAACTACCGCCAAGGTGCCCATTATTCGAGGCCCGATATAGCCCAAATAAAGGGTACTAAGGAGGGCCTGGAAAACACAAAAGGTGGTGCTGAGTTCGTCCTCGATGAAACGAAAGATGGTCTGCGGGTGCAGCTTCTGCATGCCGTCCTTCAAATCGGCAGGGCTTAGCAGTTTAGGGTTTACTGTAGGGTTTTCCAACTCCCCCCTATATTCCCTACATTATACCCATATATTATATAACCATAATTCACTCCTTAATTATGGTTATCTATGGATAATTAAGCCTAGGTAAGGCTCATCAAGGCCGAGCTTAGGGTTTCAGGCCACTTAGGGCAGCTTAAATCCAAAGCATCCTTTCCTCCCTATCTTCTGGTACAAAACAGGGCTTCTATACGGGGATCTAGGGTTTAGGGTTTACGGTTAGTATCCCCTACGAAACCCTTCAGCAACTCCAAAGTGGAATTCTCTTGTAGTTGGTTTACTTAGTTACACTCATCCCTAAAGTATGGTGGTGGGCGCGTACTGAGTAGGAGAAACCATGATCAACCCTAAACCCTTATCATCCTCATCGTTTCATGTTCAGGCATGCAGCAACACCTAAACCCTAAACTCCATTTAGCAACGCAATCCAGCAATCAGGGTTTAGGGTTCAGGATGGTCCTTGGCATCCTTCTTGTAGAGTGGCACCTGGCCAAATTATGATCACTAAGCCCGATAAACCCCTAACTAGAATAGTAACAGTAGCTTCCCTTGTCTCTTCCATTCTCTCTACATAGAAACTATGTATGTATACCCTAGTACACTATAGTAGCATCCATTTTCTGTTCCATTCCTACATAATCCTATATCACTCTATATAACATCTCTCTCTCTCTCTCTCTGTATATGTAGCAATATGATATATATATATAATAATGAGCCTATATTTCCGCTATATATCCCTAGTTGGTCAGTATAAGTTGCAAAGAAGGGCACTGCCAGCGACTTGCTCTCTTCAGTGCTGGAGCGGCTGAACTCCTCAGGTAGTACGGATTTCGGGTCTAGGGTCTAGAAACTGCAACACCTTCCACCTTCCCTAATCCCCAAATTCCCCCCACTTCACTCCTCCCACACACCACCCCATGTGAGCTGTAGTCTAAACTACTAGTATCCCCCTTAATAACCCCTATAGTAGTCCCCTATATATCCCCCTTTAAGGAGTTTAGACTACAAGTCATGTAAGTTTGGCCTATTGAGGGAGGTGACTACTCTTTATACTAGCAAGGCCTGAAAAGGAGCAGGTAGGTACACATCATCAGAAATCATGATGTGGGGATTAGGGTTTAGGGTTTAGGGATTAGGGTTTAGGGAGGATTTCAACCTAATTGCTTTTACCTTTGCTGCGCTGCAGGAAGGAGTTTGATCCCTTCTTGCATCTACCTGCAAACATGCGAAACCCGCATTAAATCAGCCTCCGATGGGAGAGAGCGATGCTTGGTTGCTTCCAAAAATGCAAGCCGATTCCATCCCACAAGGGATCTCCCCCGAATCATACATCAAGGAGGCCCCGCACTGACTTAAGTTGGTATTATGCCACAACGAAAACTAGGCCTTACATGGCAAATCCACTTCGCCATACACCAGACGCAGAGCAGGCCCTGCGGAATCCTTACACTATACTGAGCTTACATGTTCCTGCGTAACCTGCACACATGCACAGTTGCATATGGACGAGGGATCTCCAACTGCACGTCCTTACATATCCCAACTATGTGCCAGCCCGTGATTACTCAATCTACCAAGACACTGGGTCAGGTTCCAGCTCTGGGGCAAACTCGCTCTGCTTACGCTCTGCCGGCTGCCTGGAACACACTTAACGTGTTGAGGGTACAGGTCGCACTGGAGGTAGTGGTAGCTGCCGCGGTGGCGGTGAAAGTAGCAGCCGAATATCAGCAACATTGCTAGTAAGAGCGGTAGTAGCAGGAGAAGCTGGGAGGGACATTCATCAAAACAGTAGCATCGATAGCAGGCGGGAACGTGTAGTAGCACTACCGGGCCATTGAGTCATTGTTGTGATGAGCCTTACCGCATTCCGTGTTGAGCTTGAGTATCTGCAGTGCTCTAAGCATCTCTGCAATCATGGTGCGGCTGCTCCTTGCTCTGAACTTGCGCCACTTGCTCCACACGCTCCTTGGCCAAAGGGGAATACTCCAACGGATGCTTGGTATGAAGATCGCTTTAAGCTCCCCATCCTCCCCTACACATCACACCACCCGAAATGAGAAGACCCATGCGGAGCATGCGAATAGGAGACATGCGAGAACACACAATGGTCGTAGTATAATGTAGGACTCAATATAGTATTCTAGTCATGTAGCCCTATAGTCCCCCTTAAGTAGATAGAATATGGCTTTGGGTGTATTATAATAAGATCACCATGTACCCTCATATTCTATCTACTTAAGGGGGACTATAAACCCTGAACCCTACATGAGCTGTAGTCCAAACTCCTGGCATCCCCCTTAACAAGGCCTGTAATGGTCCCCTGTATAATCCCCTACAGAACCGAGTTTAGACCCCAGCCTACATGATGTTGGTCCCCTGTATAATCCCCTACAGAACCCCCTTAAAAGAGTTTAGACCCCAGCCTACATGATGTTGGTCCCCTGTATAATCCCCTACAGTACCCCCTTAAAAGAGTTTAGACCCCAGCCTACATGATGTTATGGTAACACTCCATCGCTAACATTCCTACGTCATCGGCACATCCCGACCCTAAACCCTAAACTCTAAATCCTAAACCCTAAACTCTAAGACCTAAACTCTGAACTCTAAACCCTGAACCTTACGCCCTAAACCTTGGTATGCAATGGCCTACACCCAGGCCTGGCTAAGGCTCCATAATGCAACGGCCTGGGCCCCTAAACTCCGGACCCTGAACCCTCCGTGGGGGTTTCCTTTCCAGGGTCTGCATGGTTGGTACATAAGGCTATATATGGCTGTATAGGGTTAAGGCTTTCTCAGAAATTCGGGGTGCCTTCTTGGTGGTTCCCATACTAACATAGTTTTACATTATATTCCAGTATTTGGGGGGTCTGTATTGGGGTCCCCCCTAGCACTTGCAGCTACCAAGTATCCCCAGCTCCCTGATTCTATGCCCGAGACCTTGCCAGGTTCCAGAATGCAAAGGCTGGGCTCTAAACCCGAAACCTTGTTTATCCCTATGATATATTAACTTCCCTGAGAGTACGCCATAAACCCTAAATCATGGACTCTAAACCTTACACCCTAAAGTGCCCTAACCCTAAACCCTCAATCCTAAACCCTAAACCACCCTGACCCTAAACCCTAAGTCCTAAACCACCCTAACCCTGAACGCTAAATCTTAAGTCCTAAACCCTAAGTTATAAACCCTAAACCACCCTATCCTAAATCCTAAACCCAAGACCTTGCCGAGGCTCCATGATGCACAGGCCAGGGCCCTCAAAGCCTTGAGGTCGTCTCAGGCTGGAAGTGCCAGGCCCGCAGAGATGTAGGCAGCCATTCCTTGGGACCAGGGTTTAGGGACTACAGGGTTTAGGGGATTGTAGGGTTCAGGGATTATAGGGTTTAGAGATTGTAGGGTTTAGAGATTATAGGGTTTAGGGAAAATAGGGTTTAGGGATTATAGTTTAGGGGTTTTCGGGTTTAGGATTAGACTTTGCCTTTCCCCACTAAGAGAAAAGCTGATATTGTGGCGGTGATATGACCGCAATGATAGTGCGACTGTGTGCTATCCCAGCAAGGTTCATGCTAGCAGCAGCACAATGTCTCCTAATTATACGCCTATCGGAACGATTACTTTGCTTCTGTGGTTTTCACAATTTCTGTGTATGAGTGTTCTTTTACTGGCTGCTATTCATATCCATGCCGTTAGCTCAGGGCTTCAGATGCGTTCGCAGGGCGCAAGGGTTTGCAAGTGATGAAAGAGGCATGATAGTACAGAGGCATGATGACAGCCACAGAAGGGAGGGATCAGGGGTCCATGTGAGTAGCGTTTTTTTGGTGGTTGAACCTAGTAAGATAATATTCCGTATATAAAATACTATACCCCAAAAGGAGGATAGAATCTTACTCTATATTGGGTACCATAGTATCCCCAAATAAAATACTACTTATGTAGGCTTCATCACACATGTTCTGTTTGTACTCAATACCGGCTCGTAGAATATCTGACACCAGAAAACATGTTCGTTGTTGCCTTTGCAGCCTGGAACCAGGGAGCTTCCAGAGCTGTATAATGCTCATCTGGGATTATCATGGGTTATATTGGGTCATATTGGGGTTGTGTAGGGATAGTGGAAAAGGAAATGGAAACTACTAGTGTATATCGGGCTATGTTGGGGTTATGTAGGGATAATGGAAAAGAAAATGGAAACAACTGATGTGGTTGAGGGCTTTGGCCTTTTGATTTTAACATGCAGCAGGGAAGGCAGATTTTACCTGCCCATGTTGCTTCTAATGTTACAATCAGCTGCTTGCTTGTCTTGAGAGCCCAAGGGACCAAAAGAGGCAGACAGCTGAAGACCTCAGACCAGAGCACTTAAACTTAGTTACCCCAAGAAATCATGAACTTGACCCCAAACTCCTAAACTTAAGCCCAACAACCTGAAGTCCACCCCCAAAAACCCAAAACCTAACCTGAGTTTTGCCAAGCTGTAACGGCGCTCGTTGGGTGCAAGTATGACGAGTCCAGACTTCAAAGCCAAGATGCTGGAACTTGAAGATGTACGGAATTGCGGGTGGAGGGCAGCTGCTTCCAACTGGCATCACCTGCACAGTTTGCAAATTTAGCATACCTTGATTGTACAAGCGATCTTGGACCATACTATTGGTACTCATGGCTACTATAAGCGCGTATGTAAATCCAGTTTCGATGTTATCTCCATGTTTGTTTCCATTTGATTCTCCATTTTCCCTGATATTGGTAGTCATTGGACAGCGCAGCAAGAATCCTTAAGCAAACGGCCACCTCAATGTCCAGGTGGCCAGGGTCCTTTGAGGCATCCATGCGGAAGATGCCAGTCAAAGTTTGCCTCGAAAACGCGAAGGCATCACTTTATTGCGAAGATGTATGTATCTGCGAACTGCTGCGGTCTCCAAGCTAGCCCGCCACAACCCTCCAGCTTCAAAGGAACTAGGCGAAACACATCTTTGGTACAAGCGCGAGGCAACAATCTAAAAGGTTTTTGCCCTCAAGGCCCCAGCCGCGCCACCGGCACTCAAATAATCTCAACTAGGAAGCGTCCAGGGGTTAGGGTCTGTCAATCACTCTCGTGCAAAGCTACCCCATCACAGTGATGTTTGCGTGCAGGCAGTCGTTGAGGAACTCGATGCGCTGGCGATAGCCACCCAGGGCCTTCACAATTGCTGGCCCATATGGGGGTTTCCCAAAATTAGGGGTACCTTTTTGGGGGTCCCTATAATAAGGACTATAGTATTTTGGGGTCTATATTGGGGTACCTTAATTTTGGGAAACTAC